ATATTAGGAGATGTGCGCGTTGCGCCCAAGGTCTTCGACCACCAATCAATTCATGGCTCATGGTACTCCAAGCATGCCATTCCAAGGATTAGGTCATACCTTGCATCCAAGTCTAAGACTAGACAGCGTTCTACGCTATCAAAGTCACGGAACTGAGGTCCACAGGGACTCTCAGCACAGTGGCACAAGCCCCCGTCGCTAAGCGAACAGTGACGGTGTCACTTAACCGCGCTTCCAGCCATTTAGCATACAGCTGACTTCCTTCGCTCGTGGATCGTCGTGCATAATTGCCCGAAGAACCAAAATCGACAATGATTTTTCATAGTTTATCAAAGCCCTTCACGGTCGCTTTTACGACCAGCAAGCCCGGCTTACACACACGTTCCGTGTTCAAGAGCACGCAGCTCTTTGGCGCTGAGGCTCATCAGAACTCAGTTCCCCCCAGTAGGGCACCCCAGCCGCCCACTGGATGGTCTCGTTTCCCCGCGTCAAATCCGACTGGCTAAAAGCGGGATATCGGTTCGACGAACTTGAGCAAGGGCAACCCAACCGAAGGTGACGGGTGTCTCAACAAACAAAACACCGTCGGGTGTTGAATAGCGGTCCAGCAGCTTGGGGCTCTGCTCTCTCTCTCTCTCAGAATAGCTGAGGTCCATCCGCTCATGCCCACTCAACGAGCTATGAGGGTGTGCATTCCAACCAAGTCGTGCTGACTTAAGTTGAATTCGGCAATCAATGCCACATTCGCCGCTTCTTCAAAAGAAGACGGATGCACACAGAATACTTCCGTTCCGGCCACGCCAGTGCGAAGACCCTCCATAACGACGGTCACTGCGACCGCCTCGGGGAGAGGATCTGCTGCCATTTCGGCAATTTGAATTCTCAACTCTTGGACAAAGTCCGCCGACTCCTTCTTGCCCTCTCGGGCCGCGATCACACGCGATATGGTTAGGCGACGAGAACACTCGCAAAAGCTGACACTTCAGCTCCTCCCAGGAGGTGAATGCAGCATCAGCCGAAGCACCGCACGTTAGTGCCTATTTTCGTGCTCGATCCCCGAGCTTGGAGATAGCTAGCACCACGCGCTGTTGCTCGTTCTGGAGAATGGCGGATGCCATAGCCATCTCGACCTCTCTTACCCAGAGCAGGAGATTCTCTTTATCCCATTCCTCGAAGCTAAAAACGCTCACCATGATCGGCCTGGGCTGGGAGGAGTTATCCGTCGTCGACGATGGCGTCATGGACGTAGTCGACGCTGATAGCTTCTGCTGTAGTGCTCTAGCAGAGCATTTTCATAGCTCGAAAACTTCTGGGCGTGCGTTTATTGCTTCGGGCCCATGCGAAACAATGTGCTTCACGCCTTCAAAGCCCAGCAGGAACATCAGCTCATCAAGCTCTGGGACAAATAGGAGTATTGCTCCATCCCCACAGAGGATCAGTCGTAGAGACTCAGCGTAGATAGACTACAAGTGCTACCAAGTGCGGCGGGGCTGCCGTAGCTCTTTGCTTAGAGAAAGCTAAGCTTAGGTCACCAACCTTAAGTTCTTTACAAGAACCAGTACGGGTGTAGCAGATTGCAATCCGCTACCTTCAAGTACTTAAAACCTTAACCAAGGAAAAGACGCTCTTTCGTTTAAAACTGAAACTATATTAAATTGTTTTAGTTGTGGCAGAGCCGCCAATATCGAAAACCTTAGGTTTTAATACAGTAAAATGTAATTGATAAATTGATATTTTTACTACTATTGTTATGATGTAGCCATATTATTGTGTGATTACACTAACTGATGTAATCCACACCGATGGATCGACCGGCCCTTTCATACAAGTGTACGTGTAACCCCGTTACTAAATAAGTATAATAAACAAGCAAAGTAAGTAAATACCTTGATATGAGCGAATCTCCGGATCGCTACTGAGTAAAGCGTACTAGCCCATACTCTTTGCGTTTGCTAACGTGGAATCTAAGATCCAAAGCTTCCTGCGCAAACTGTGTGGTAACCCCGTTGCACATGAGAAACACCAGAGTTCTTGTTCTCAAAAATGTCTTACTTTAATATGTTGGCGAAAAAATTGAGAGATAAGCTTGAGTGAATCACAGAGTTATGTTATTGTGGTATGTAAAAAGCATCATAAATATAATAAAAATCGTTGCTTTGTTCCCACCCGATGATATCTTCAAACCCTGTGATGTGATTAAACATAACAATCTCAAAATTTTAGTGCGCATCTGTTGGCGACAAATAAAGTAACAGCGTTTCGCTTTATAAAGTTTAGAAATTGCATCGGTAGCAAGTTTGACATATTGTATTGCTGGGTTGCTTTAAACTCAAAGCGTTCTACTGTTACTTCTGTGGTTGGATGGACTCACACACGTTGGCTAAAAACAGTAGCGGAAAGTTGTGATCGAAATCGGAAGAAAAATCAACGTTTTCTTTCTGAACGCCGGGAAGGTGATATGTCAACGACTCACCAGGAACTGGCCGTGGCTTTTGTTGTTGAACTAATAGGGTAGCCGCAACTTTTTTTGATTGACTAAAGCGTTGGTGAGCAAATCGGATTATCTGCTCATATTCCTCTTGTAGACGTCGTAATTTATTGTTGAACTGAGCTGGCGTTATGAATATTAGTTGGTCCTTGACATTTGAATGTTCAGGACTAAAAGCTGAACGAACATCAGCATATATGCAATCTGAATTTTTTTCTGGCTCGTACCAACGACCCCTTGATCGAGCATTGCGGCACGACGGTCCTCAAGCTCAGCGATGCGTCGACGAACAGACGATAACTGTCGATATGGCCATTTGATGATTCGATTACGTCTACAGATACGTTTGAGAGCTGCCTCACAAATTCCAAGTCGCTCTGCTGCCTGGAAACAACTCTTCATTGTCACGGAACTATCTCAAGTGCTTACAAAGCTTCAAAGTACACAAAATGCACTTTGAACGACACTAAAGACGTTAAAAACTTAGCCGTCCAACCTCACCGTCTTTAGAGGCAGGTGATAGACCGTTTGTAGCTGTTCCACATTGAAGTGAATCCGTTGCCGTCGTCTTCGATAGCGAGTAACGAATGCAACTTCTAAGTCGCTTGACGCTTCTTCCTCCTGTTCAATTTGGATGTTATCGACATCGCTAAATTGATCGCTGTCACAACTACTTTCAGTATGACTTGATGAGGCTCGATGTGAACCTAGATCACGCTGGAGGAATGGAAGATTAGGCAGTTCAGAGCTCATGCTATCAAGATAAGAATTAAGAATGAATGTCGATAAAGACGTTGCAATAGCGCTTTGAGAGCGGGCATTTGGTGGTCAAAGGAGTTCGATCTGTTATATCAGACGCCGCAATGATTTTTACTTTCATATCCTTTAAAATGGGATAGTTTGAAATCCAAGTATAGAATTCCGTCACATTAGACTTAATGATACGCACTAGTGTCCAAACGAACCTGCATTTCAGCTCTGATTTCTTATAAAGTTTTTTGAGGACAACTATATCGGGCTTCTCATGCCGCAAGTTAATATTATTTGGTCAAAGATCATACAATTTGTATCTTCGAGACGGTACTAAAACTCTTAGACACATCCTTTCAAAGTAAAGTCAGGCAATCTCCAGCGTAGCAGATTTATATTGGACTTAATGATCGGCAAATAATTGAGGTATTTTCCGATTAAGACCAGTTCATTCGTAACAAAAGGTAGTCATTTCTACTTACAGCCATGGGTATGGCGTTAATGATCTGACCATTCACAGAAATTAATAGGGCCGTCTTCTTTGTGTTCATGGTTGTATTCTTGAAATCAAAATTAAATTGTATTCCCCAGCTCGGCCTTGCTGATAAGACAAGTAGTTTTGATGTCCGTTAAGCTACAGAATGCTCAATGTAGCCAGCCACCTCTTTGTGTACCATGGATAGCCATCTTAACCGCTAAGGCAAGTCATACTAGATGGAAAGACACATGTGACGCTCTCGTGTGCTAAGTGGGCATATTGTGAAATCGCGCCAGAATGAAGAGATCGTTACGATGAAGACCCTTTTGTGAATTGGTCAGAAAGAACAAGTTTGTGAATTTGCACACTAGCTCGACTTTGAGCAATTAAAAATCATTTGGGAGATCCTTACCAGGAATATGCATAGAACCCCCATGTGGTAGATAATCACCGCTAAAATAATTAAAGTTTCTTGTAGTCATAGGATGTAGTAGAAACTCCAGCATTGCTCTTTTCTTCTCACTCCTAGTGTTGCAATAAATTTCGAAAAGTCATCGTCAAGCTATTCTTTAAACACCGCAATATTATATAATTGCTTCACATTACTGATCCTCATGTACTTATTTTATAATATTTGTGTTACTATTATATTTCACACCAATAAATGTACGCACATAAACTGATCACTAAACCTCATTTTATAAAGTGACTACCTGCCTGACTGGACATGACGGTTCGTTCATGCCATGGCGCATGTCAAAATCAATTCCATGAGTTAACTTTTGATTTTCTTCACTAGGTTACACACGAACCCGAACGAGCAATTTATTTAAAAGATGATGCTACGTTCGACAAGACACAGTTCCTGATCCCGCATCATTATCTCGATAGTATTGAGTCGGTGCTAATTCCAAAAGGATTGATCGAAGATCGTGTAGAAAAACTGGCTCAAAACATTCGCGACGCTTATGAAGGGAAGACAATACATCTGGTGTGTATTTTGAAAGGCGGAAGTGCCTTTTTCCATGCTCTCGTGAACCAATTACGACTATATCACAAGTACAATAAGTGTAACTACGTACCCTTCACTTTTGACTTTATCCGAGTGAAGAGTTACGAAGGTACGAAGAGTACAGGTGATGTCCAAATCTCCGGTGCAGATCTTGCCAAGTTTAAAGGCAAGAGTCTGTTGTTAATTGAGGATATTATTGACTCGGGCAAGACCATGGCTAAACTCGTACCGTTGCTCAAACAGTACGAACCTGAGTCCGTACGCGTAGCCAGTCTACTGGAAAAGCGTAACCCTGACAATTGTGGTTTTGTGGCCGATTTTGTTGGCTTCAATATTCCCGACAAGTTTGTGATTGGTTACTGCCTTGACTATAATGAGATGTTTCGCGATCTGGATCACATTTGCATCATCAATGAAGTAGGAATTACGAAATATGCTACGAACTCGTAAAGCTTTATATTAGTAGCATAAGGGAATGAAGTGCCTTAACATATATCAGTACCAAATCTATGTTACTACTTGGTCTGAAATTGCTCTGGCGTCATAGTTTTAATGGTGAGGCCATGCATGCTCTTGATCTCTTCCTTAAGAATCTATAGCACGAACCATTAGTTTCTAACAAGATACAAATTATATTCTAAACCGATCACACCTGATTGACCATACGATGTTGTTTGACGCGTGACTGACCCGCAAAATGTGGTGACACAACTTCGACATCAAACATCGAGCCGCAGCCCCCTGAAATGTCCGTCACTTTAACGTAAATCGCTTCCAACTGTGTCTGAAGCATTGTATGCATTGACTTTTCGACCTTTGAACTTGATCCTCCAGCACTCGATACAAACTGCGCTGAATGACTTACTTTTACTATCGGACGCCTTGTCAACGCCGCAACCATCATTCGTCCACGCATGTCGACGTAATTATTTTAATAATTTGATGAAAAGTATTGAAATTAATAGAACAAACAATCATTTCAATACATTGCCATATTTTTTACGACACAATAAGTAGCCACGTAAGCGTGTGGTTCTAATGTACTTCTGTACTGGACCTCCTCGCACATACGCGACGTCAGCAACACATGAGCGATTAGAAGATGTGGCAATTTCCATGCATCCATCACAACTTGTGTTTGCACGTGTTACAGCTTCTGAAGTAGCATTATGGAGTGCATCACCAGGCATTGGACGCCGTCTCTTAGCGTCTTGTCATCGCAGTGGTCAATATATGGAAAAAGAAGTAAAGAAGGAGATTAAAATGGATCAGGATTTATACGAGAGTGAGTTGCATCAACTTTGGACTGTATGGGTCTCAGGTCATCGTCTAGCTGTGGTGGAAAAAGGCTCACAATTCATCGAGTTTTACGCATTTGATGGATTAATTGAGTTGATAAAACGGAGTAAAACACTCAATTGTCAATTACCCGAAGATAATACGATCAATAATCTTGTGTTAGATCAACCATCATTCCCCGAACCTGAACATGAAGAGAAAGATGATGTTACATCTTTTGTAACAAAACTTAAACTTGTTGCACGATTTATACATGAATTTTCATTAAATCAAGAAGATCAAGAAAAGAATGACAAAGATGTGGCGACGTCAATGAGTGGAATCTCTGGTAGTAAATATGTTTTTGTGGGTATGGCTAGTGGTTTTATTTCTGTCGTGGAAGTCTCTGAGTCATTTGATTTACAGGATGATTCAAGTTCGTGGTTTTCTACACTCGAAAATGCAACTAAATTATGGAAAATTGATGTACGCACGCATCTTGCAATTGCAGATGAAACTCAACCAACGAGTTGTTTTGATCTCACATGTGCAACAAGTGATCCATTGGCACAAATTATGTCGTTACATATAATTGCAACTTTTACAAGTGGCAAATGTTTTATCATAGTTATATCACCTATTGAGAAAAAGATTCAGCAACTTTTGTCATTAGTAAATACCGAGAAAGAAGATATGAGATCAAGTAAATGTTGTACGACAAAATTGGATGCTTCTGGATACAGACTTGCTATTGGATGGTCAGACGGTGGTGTCTCTTTGTTTCAACTATCGACAGAAGAACAGGACACGTCACTTCAATTGTCACAAGTGACACTTTCCTTATCTCCTATTCGAGAACTTAATTTAAAACCATGGGGATATCATTCCAATGATATTGGAGCTGTCACCGCCTTAGCATGGTCTAATGATGGTCAAAGTCTTGCAGTTGGTTATGCATTACGTGGTTTTTCGCTCTTTTCAATTGATGGTTGTCGATTAATGTCAACTTTATCTCAACATCAACAAGAAAGACGTCAAGAAACCAAATTAGTAAATCCTGAAATTTGTGCATTTGGAGTTTTATCATTGGAATGGACACATGAGAATTTTTCTTTACTAGTTGTACCACGTGGAGAAGAAACGACACAAGTTATTGTTTTACCGGAGAAAAAAAACGAAAAGATTTCAAGACGACAAGTTACTGAGGTTATGGATACAATTCAAGTTAAATTAGAAAAAACACAAGATGGATTGTGTTTATCACTATCTGGAGCTGTTGGACGATGTGGTGCATGGGTACGAAGTGACAAGAGTTTTACTAAACGGACAAAAGATGGTACAATAGGTCCTGCTGAAGCGTGTGGTTTGATACATGGAGGTGATTTACTAGTTGGAATTAATGACAATTACGTCATAACATTACCATTTGAAAAAATTGTTCACGAATTAAAAGAATTACCAAATTTTGAACAAGTAACTTTAACATTTTTACGATTAAAATGGGATGTCATCTTTCCATTAGCACTAAATGCCTTGTCTTCGATTGAATTTCAACATCTGCATGGAATTCATCTGCTTGATGATGAAAATCTGTGTATTCGTGAATATGCACTACGTATGCAAGCTTTACATGGTGATTGTGATGTCAATTTACGACCTTCATTAATGGAATTTGAACAACGTGCGAAATTTGACGGATGGGAAACTATGCGTGGTACTTCCACTCAAGTTGCTCAACACAAGTATGTCAAGTTTTTGTTTGCACTCTTTCCAGTGTGGAATCTCACGCATTTTCTCAATGTTTTATTAGCTTTTGGTGAGTCTAGTAATGAGACAAACGAAAACGATAAACATGATCGAGAAAAAATTCTAAAATCTCGAAATGTACCATCCATATCGTTTGCCGAGTATGACTTTGCAAAGATATTACCGCTTTCGACACAAACATCTCGTCTTATGTTACTTGAAAGACAAAGTATTCGCTTAGTAGCAGCTCCAACATTAGATGATCCATGTGCTATCACATCATGTGTTCATTGGAGTGTACCACAAGCGTTTGAAAAGTGTTGTCCACTTCGTTTTGCAGCAATGAGTGCTAGTGGAAAGCATGTGGCTGTAGCTGGACAACGAGGATTTTGTTTGCTCAATGTAGTGACAGGCAAATGGCGAATGTTTGGAAATGTTAATGACGAACACGATATGGTAGTATATGCTCTACTTTGGTTGACAGAAGATGTGATCGTAGTACATTTTACAAGGTGGAGTGAAGAGCATCAAATTGTCCATTTTCAAGTGTATCCAAGAGATCATTTGGATGCCAATGCTTTACTTAATCATCTTGAGTACCCACGTCCAAAAAGTGTTAATTCTAAAGAACCAGATTGTTTTTTGATGATGGAAAGTGACACAACCTCTCGGAATATTTATTGTATCTCACAATATCAAATCTGGTGGTTTCAAGTACAATATTCAGGTACACTTCAGCAACAAAATGTTCAAGTGACAATGAATTTAAAACGTCAAGTTCCATTACCATCTCGAATTCTTAATCATTTCAAGTTATCTCGATATGCTCCACTATCAGATATTGCTATACTTCCTCGATATTCACATTTACAAGAAGAGTCAATAGACTTGCATAAAGATATGGATGAAAATGAAGATGTATCTTGGCTTGCTACTGTTGTAAATCAACTTGTTCATGGTCAAGTACCGGATCAATATACTCCTGAACAAGTATTACCACGCTTTGCATTTCTTGATAAAGAAGGTAATGTTATTGTCTGGGATCCGGAAACAAGATCACAGCGACTTGTGTGTTCAAACATTAGTACAATGACAAGAGTCTTTGTAAGTCCATTAACTTGTGCTTCCTGGCCTTCACCTTGTCGATTAGTGTATGGACTTTACGGTCCAGATGGCATGAAACTTTGGCTTCCATTACTTGATGGTGTCTATTGTACACGCAATAAAGCATTTGATCACGATGAGCGACGTCTAGAGACGTTTCTAGCGTGTCACGATCCATTGCGTGCGAAAACATACGAGATTGAATTCGGTACGGCTCCAGCCACAGCAGAATTGTATGAACAAGTTTTACGAGAGTATGGTATCGTGTTGGATCATTTCTTAACAACTAGACGAATGGACGTAGATGATGAACGTCAAAATCTTCGCGGTTGTGTTATGACAGTTGATGAATGGTCCACAAAGGATCAAATGTTACGTTTTGACATTGATGTGCAATTATTGGGAGCTGATTCGACATTTGGATTACTTGTGGGTGTTTCTCAAGACGTTTATTTTCCATCAGGTGTCTTTCTTCCATGCTATGACGTTTTTGCACGTGTACAACCAATTTTTCATACATTATTGTGCTTTCTTGTACAAAATGAACAACTTTCATGGGCTCAACTTGTGCTTAATGGTATACGCCATCACTTTGCATTGTCTACTGCTACGCAAGAACTTTTCTTGCATTCAATACTTGAAAGTTGTTATGTTGAACAATGTTCGCTTGATAAAGTTAAGACAGCAATAACATTATTGCGAGAAGGAAACGAGTCGCGAGATATTGTAGAATATTGCGAAATTATTGCACATGTAGCTCGAAAGAGTGAACCATCTCGATTACAAATATTGTTTCCTGCTGCTGGTGATCCAATGGAATTATTAAGACTTTGTCAACAACGCTCTGAGCTCCGCACAGCAGCGAATTTTCTACTTATTTTAGAAGAATGCTCAACAGTATCGGGCTCATCTTTGCCTTTGCGAATGGAAAGTGCTGCAGAATTATTGAAACAATGTATTGATCAGGAAGAATGGAGATTGGCACAACATGTTGTACGAGTTGCGCGAGAATGGAACCATCCACAATTAATTGGGACGGAAACTTGTGGCAATACTATTGATGAACAATTGGCTTCTTTGGTCTATGACAATCTTGTGCGTGGTGAGTACGAGCGCGTCGTATGGTGTATTGAAGATTTGCAAGCAAAATTGCCGCTTAAAACTCGAGAAGAGCGTGAAAACGATGTAAAAGCTTTTATTGGTGATAGTTCTGTTATGGTTGCTCGATTGGTTCAAGCGTTTATTCAAGAAAATAAGCGGCGACAACTGCGGTAAGTATTTTATGTGCATTGTAGAGTGATTGAAGTTTTATTGATTGTTTGTTTGGATTAATAGGATCCTCTTACAAGCTGTGACGGAAGCTCACTATGACGAGTGGATAGCACGATTAAGACACGTTATGGAGCAATAACAAGTATTGGAACTTGCAAAAGTATTCCAATAATCAATTTAAGGCTTTAGAGACAACAAAGGACATGTTCATTTCTCCGAAGTCTTGTATTCTATCCAACAAGTTATGATTGTACGTTTGAGCAATTACTTTGACGACGATCTCATCTAGTTAAAGAAAAAAGTGTGCTTTTGATGTTCAGTATATTGCGTTTGTTTAAACACTTTGGCCTATATGTTCTTCGTTATTCTGTCTCTTTAAGCCACATCCCATGAGAGAATCTTTCATGAATTCAAGGAGTTAATCACTGGATAATGATCGTCTTTCGAAAGGATCTCAAGACCAGAGCAGAAGATGTCAATTTGTCAGAAACCACAATATTCGTATGGTAGAATACTCGTCAATGTTTGTGCTGTTATACATTAAAATTATTCACTGGAAGATCGATGTAACTAATTCTAAGTCTCTTTGCAGTCGAATGGTAGCCGTGCAAACGCACGACCAGCCTCTGTGAGCTCAATTTGGTTGTGATTTAACATTGTCAAGACATTCGCAGCGGTTTTATCGTCGGCACTCTCCAGTGACTGACTATGAATACGATCTGCAAGTGAACAACTGGCTTTGGCCCGTGCAAGCGAGCGCTCGTGTCGAATACGCTGTGCATCTTCACGTGAAATTGTTAACCGATTGATGGTGTGTCGTTTTGACTTCATAAGACGATAGGGCCACACGATGCCGAGACGTCGACAATTTCGTTTGACAGTAACCGTAGCAACTCCTAGCTGTTGAGCAGCTTTACGCTGTGACATATGAAAGTATTTGGCCATCTCTTCGGTGGAGAAATCAAACACAATGCGACTCTTACGACTTCTTTTCATGGGGCTTACGATCGGAAGTAAACGAGCTTCACTGTTATTCACAGTAGGCGATGTTAGATAGCATGGAGCTTGTGAACGCGTTGTTGATGCAAAGATCATGACAGGATCCGACTGTTCCACACGGTGCAGTGACTGCATGACGTTTAAAGTACTGGACGGTGAGACACATATGGGATAAGGTTGCATGCTTCTTTGGGGTGATGAGGGTGGCCGAATGAATTCGAGAATGACTTGTTTCGAGTACGATGTCGTTCTGTCTCGAGCATATTAGACAAAGGTATTCTTTCAAGTAGATAAGTAGGCTAGTGAGCGACTGTAGTAGCCTACTCGAACGTTCTTCTAGTTGATTGATACGGACGGTGACATCGACGGTCGGATACTTTGCTCTCGCCATCGCCTGTCTCTTGTGGGATCATCTTAGTATGTAGACGAGACGCATTCGAGTCTAGGAGTGATACATGGTCTTAACATTCGTAGCGACAGCTGTTGATGCTTCAACTGGCGACAAGTGAGCCTGTGGAGCAAACTTTGACCTTTTGTTGCTTAAAAATCGAAAGATAATCAAGATGGAAACACTCACTTATCTAGAATGCACAGCTGACGTACGACTGGCTTTATCTCTCCATTTGATACCAGACCTAAGGACTTGATTGATTGGTATAGTGCGAAATGAGGTTAACTCATGGCTATTTGACGCTTGACGACGGACGACGTAATGGATATGGTCAGGAAGATGTCATATCGGATCATCTTTCGATACAAACGTATCATAGCTACGTTAAGGACTAGATTTTGATGCTGAAAGAAATGCTTTAAACTATATGCTGACCTCATCGAATCTTTTAAAAGCCAGGTGGCACCGTTGCACAGATGTGCGGTTGTCCACGGTGCAGAACAGAGATTACAATTGCGTAGTTTATGAAGAAAAAGAGAGTTGTTACGATCGTAAACACCCTCGAGCTCCTAATAAATGATTACGACCAGATTACGACAGGGTTCGAGTGTTAAGAGCTTGACAATCTGCTAACAAATCTCTTGTCTGCATGGCTAGTTAGGAATCCAGAGATTCATTAAGAGATCGTAAACGGTGAACTACCTAACAATTGGAATACGATTTTTGTATGGATATCTTTCTTAATCTTGCAGAGTTATGTTACATCACTGTTCCATGTCTCAAAGATAGGAATTAGACCGTCCGAATCAAAAGATAGTGATGATATCAAGCTGACAATATTTCTTAGCTTAGTCTGATAAGGTTCCTACAAGAAATACAAAAGGATTGACGAATATACATCAGTGTGCTTCTATCACCTTTGCGATCAATATTGATAGCATTGAATATGATTAGAACTTGCACGATTATAAACGGCTTACGCGTTATTGTCGCTTCAAAAGAGGATATGCATCATGCCTCTTTATTAGACAAGTCACTTTATCAAGCAAAGCAGTGAGCGCGCTGATTTAAAGACGTTTAATCTTCCATTCCCTTGCACTCTTCTCATTTCAGCATATCCATTGTATCTTATAGATTGAAGCAAGTTTTCGTTAATTTAAATCATGCTTAAATTCTATGGAAGACATGTAATACTGTGATGCTTTTCTTGCATTCAACTGCTTCCTTACATTTATTTACTTTTTGGTAGTTGTTAATACTTATCAGTGCATAGCTAATGTAGAGAAGTGAAAATCTCCAAAGTGATCATCAAGGACTCACCCATGCTGCATTGTATGTGATTGCAATATAACTTTTATACTTGTGCTTCAAAAAATACATCTCTACTTCTGCTATTCACAACTCTAAAGAGTGAGTTCTAATAGCTGTAAAACACAATGCCGAACACAAGAGACAATCATGTTACTTACGTTCTTAAAATTTATTTTAACGTTAGTTTTCAGAGAATATTCTATTGATCTACAATTAGTGAACATGTGACGCTGCTATTCCATCAGCAGAACCACGTTGAGATATAAGGTAGTAACACTATTCGAGAGTCGCCATACAGTCTAATGGTAATCGTGCAAAGGCACGACCAGCCTCCGTGAGCTCAACGTTGCCGACTTTACTGTAACTCGGTGCTGTCATTACCTCCTCTTTGTTGGAAGCATCGGATAATCGTCTACGGCTATGCATCAATTTGGTACGACCGGCTTTTGCATGTTCAAGCGCACGCATGTGACGAATGCGCTGTGCATCCTCACGTGAGATAGCAGACCAGTTGATGGCGTGTTTTTTTGATTTCATGAGTCGGTAGGGCCATACGATGCCAAGACGTCGACAATTACGCTTGATAGTAACCGTAGCAACCCCGAGTTGCTGTGCAGCCTCGCGTTGTGACATATGAAAGTACTTAGCCATCTCTTCGGTAGAAAAATCAAAGACGACGCGACTCTTTCGGCTTCTCTTTGAAGGGCTGACCGCGGGAGGCAAACGCGTCCCACTGTGACTCATAGTGGGCGATGCCAGATGATAAAGAGCTTTCTTTGGTGTTGTGGATGGAAAGACCAAGTCGGGGGCCGACTGTTGCTGGCATGGATGACGGTGTAGTGGATTCGGGACGGTAAAGGAGATGGACGGTGACATACACACAGGCAAAGGCGACATGCTCATCTTGGCGGACAAAATGGTCGAATTTGAAGTGAGAGTAGTCGAATAAATTTGAGAATGACTTGTTTCACTCGAGACGCAGTTTCATCTCGGTGAAGGGGCTCGAAGGCATCAAACAAGTAGGCCAATGAACGACCGTAGTGCCCTACTCACTTTTCGATATATATGAGCGACACTAGCCCAACCGACCGCCGGATACTGTACTCTCGCCATCGCCTGTCGCTTTCGGGGTCATCTTAGTCTGGAGACGTGACGTGATCGAGCCTAGCAGTGATATGTGGTCCTGGTGATGGTGGCGACTGCTTTTGACGCTTCAACTGGCGACAAAGTGAGCCGGCTACGCAGCATTGACCCTTTCAATGAAAAATACGAAGAATAAGTTCACAGAAATATTTATTAGTTTGAAAGGGATAGTGTGACCCTGATGCTTTTTACGTTTGAACCAGTAACACAACCACTTGCTGCCTGACGCAATTGCTTTAGCACATTCGCGTACATTGTACATGTGCTTGTTTGATCTAGAACATACATCGCGAAGTTAGAATGTTTCGGATGTTGATTAACTTGTTCGAAATGAAACGTTTCAGGTTTACGGTTATTTATCTGTTCGCACGTTACGTGCGCATTTCAGTATGGAATGGTATTAATGACGTACCATATCTACAAACTGAACGGCCCAACTTACTTATATCAATCAATGAGCGTCTACCGTACGTAGATTGATTTTTTTTGATGAGTTTTTGAAGCTGAACCTATTCTTACATTTCTGCTTGGCAAACCGGACTGAAAAAAAGTATTCCGTCTTTTGTCGCAATGGCGTCATTACTCTGTGATGATAAGAGAGTGAGCGCATCTTCTCATCTCGGCATCGAGGCTTGCTGAGAAATCTAAGTAGGTACAAGTGACGGGTCTTTGTCACAGCGAAAGTCCATAAAAGATCGAAACAAATTAGCGCACCTCAGATCTGGCAAGTCAAAGAATATTTAAGATTTTATCGCTAATGAGCTCCCAATTTGCTGACTCCACATATGGGTATTCAAACTATCTGATAAACTTTCACACTGGTACAAATTGGTGTTCCTCAATGAGAATAGATCAAAGACATGAATACTGTGAAGAAAACTCTGCTTTATATGCATCTCTGATGGTCGCTTTGAGCCAGAATTTGAATCTGTATAACGAGTACGCAATTTATCGTTTCCCTCACTTGACAATGTTGGAGTGCAGAGGACAATAGGTACTTGCTGCCATTTACTAAATTTGTTGAAAGAATTCTTTCGCTGTTTTGCCATGAGCATAGATGTCTAGAAATGTCGTGATGTCCACATCAATTTCTTTTGAATAAGACCAAGCATTTCCAGCTCTGAGCTAGACATAGTCTACCTGCTTTGTAATTACAATGATTAAAAATGGTGACTCGACTAAAGCCTTCCTTCCACCTTAATGAATTGTGAGCGATTTAAACTTGCAGCTTACATGTCAGCGACCGCATTTTGCGCAGTTCTCAAGATTTACGTAATTCTACTAAATGACACTAATATGGAAAGCTCTCGAAACGACATTTTAAGATACTTACAGCAGGGTTCAGTTACGACTAATATCGGTTACAGCTGGACAACTAGCGGTTACTCATGGACAAATTGAGTGTAAAAAACACCAGACTTTTTCTTTCACCGTTACACAATTTTTATGATTTATTTCAACTTGATTTTCTCTGCTAAATTTGACAAATCCGGCCGTCAGATGTGAAATTTTAAAGCGTGCTTATCCTGTATGACTGCACTGGCTTCGAAAACACCAATAACTCATATCGCAATGGCCTCATCAGTTGAATAAAATGTTTAGCAAGAATGTTGCTCGATAGATCCGAATTTCTAGATAATCTGCAGAAAGTTTATTTATCGCTTGCTACCTCGAGTGCTGTCTTAAACACTATTTGAACGTAATGTGTGTTGTCTAGGCCACTAAAAATCGCGTAGATGAATTGTTGAGTCGATTTTGAATTACTGACTTCCCAAGCTATCAACTAGAAAATGAAAATACTCTCTTTTAAATTTATATTTGCTACATTGCCAGCTTTTGAAGACAAAGACATACAATAATACGATTGTGTTCGGGCCATTATCTCGACAGACTGACTCGATGCATGATAAATAAACCCATCACGACGATAGGCACAAACAATCACAAATACTCCGTATGGTATCTACCTGCTTGACTCAAAGGAGTCAAAAGGCTGAATTCTACACTGCATGGAAGTCAAACGAATTTTGCAATATATTCATATTTAAGCGCTACCTTAAAAAAAAAAAAAA